CTCCGTGGAGCCGAGCGCTGGAAGAGGCAGCGTCGCTGCTGCAGCTCCGAGCAGCCTCAGGCTCTTCCTCCGGGCAAATGTGGTTTGGGGTGTTCCACCCTTGGTGACAGCAAATATGCCCGCAGTGAGCAGGTGAAGCAGCCCTGGGTAACTAACGAGGGCTGGGATTAGCTGGGGATGCTTGGCAGAGCATCACCCTGAGCGCTGACACTTCCCCTTCCCTCCTGCCTCCACCTGCAGCACCAGTCATTCCTTTCATAAGTAGATGAGCACACTGCCGGGCTACACGTGAGATGCTTTCCCGGCTGTAAACAGGAGCTCTCCAGAGGATCCCTGTGCATGGAGCAGGCTCCCAGTTATCCTCTCTCCTTCAGAAAGAAGTCCTTCGGACTGAAATCCTGAAGAGTTGCTTCTCTGAAGACCTGTTTTATCCACAGGAGAGGTCCTGAGGCTGAGGAGGGTTTGTCCCCAGAATGTGGGGCTGTGGATGGAGTTGTTGCTCTGCTCAGTAACTCTGCACAGTTTTATGAAGCAGCACTCCTGTCCCACCTGCTGTAATGTAGAGCTCATCCCCACATTTAGCCAAACCTTTTTCTCCCTGTCCAAGGCGGATGTGCTCCGTGCCTTGGCCTTTCTCCAAGCTTCCACCTACCCAGGTCAGCCCCTGAAAATTTGCTTCTGATGAAAGAGGTGAACAAACAGCTCGTAGCCAATGGCTGGCGCCGCGTGTGGCGCAAAGGCTGTGCCGAAAATGACCTACTTAAACTCACCCCTCGCAAGGGCAGAGCCCACAGCCCTGTGCATTAAACAGCACAAAGCCTTTGTTCAGCTTCAGCACGTCAGGAACTGGTACCTGCAAATAAAAGGCTGAATGGCCCCTGCAGGACAGAAATGACACGTTTTGTGCAAAAGCCTTTCTGCTCTCTTTTTAGCTAATCCTGATTTTTTCAACCTAATTAGCTAAGTTCTAATAATTTGCAATGAGAACAGAAGATGAAGAAAAGATCAACCCTTGTTTCTCCTCCCTTCACCTCAAGCCCTTGGTCTCCCCATCTTCAACATGACACAAAATTACCCTCCACTCATTATTTTCCATTTCACATCAAACCTAATGACTGAGTGATGACAGGTGATGAGAAACATTCAGGTCCTTGCTGAAACTCCTGGGTTGGTCTTCAGTGTGGGTAAGAGGAGCTAGAAGGGCTGGGGCTGGGCAGGTAAAGGCTGGTTTGCCCATCCTGGCCTCCTGAGCTCTGTCAGGATGGTGAATCCTGATGGAAAAGCACTTACCTATGGACAGGTGGTTGTTACCAGGATATCTTTGGGTGAAGCCTGCAGGGAAAGCAGGGAGCTTGGAGCCTGCCCCATCTGCACTGGGCTGCCTGTGGGGCTGGCCCTGCAAAACCTGGGGAATTTTGCTTTTGTGGAATGGCACCGACCTGCACACAGTGAGTGAGGCTGCATCAGCTCTGCTCCCCTTGGGAGCTCAGATGCTGCCCTGGGAGCAGGAGCAGCATGGTCTTGGCCCAGCTGGAGCTGATGGGCAGTAACCAGTTCCTTTCAGTTCCCCAGGAACAAAGATCAGCCTGGTCAGGAGGGGTCAAACAACTCAGTGACTCTTTGCAAGCCATGTGGTTGACAAATACTCTGTTTTTATCTCGGACATATGACCGTGTTTGTTTTGACCTAAAAATAGCTTAATTTTAAGCTCTTTTACCCCGTTTTGGGGATCTTAGGAGCACCTCAAGAGTACCTTGAGCTGGTGAGCCTAGGTGGGGAGAGAGCTGGGAAAGGCAGCAGGGAGCTGGGATGTAGCTCCATCTGACTGGGTGCTTCTTATAAAAGTAAATACATATGCAACAAGTGGTCAAAAGGGAGTGTGAGACAGAACAAGCGACTAAAGGAACGCAGTGTTCTTGGTCATAAATCCATTTTATGCTTGTGAATCAGGGCCCTAAAGCAGACTAAATAAAAATCTGTTACTGCTCCTTTCTACCTTGAAATCCTTGAGGCTGGCAAAATGAGAGCAGCATGTGGTGGTGGGGAGGGTTTGCCAGGTTAGATGGGTCCCACAGCATTGTGGAGGTGTGTTCCCAGGGACTGGGTGGATGAGGGGCTTGCAGGGGCCTGCTGCTCACAGGTAGCTCAGCTTTCCCATAAAATTCCTCAGGAGGGAAGAGGTGGTGTGGGGAAACCTCTGGCACCTCAACCCCCTGTGTCAGCAAATTTGTGCCCAGTGAGATGGAGCTGCTCCACAGCAGGAGCTGCTGAGCTGCACCAGCACAAAGCCCACATCCCTCCTCCTGCTCATGGATCAGCCCCACTTCCATAATCTGCCTGGGTTACCTAAGCAGGGACATGGATCTCTGCTCCCAGGAGAAAAGATTAGGGTGGAACCCATCCAAAGTGGGTGTTCAAGAAGGAACAGGCTCCTGCCCTCCTGCAGCACCCTGGAGGCAGGGAGGGAGTGCAGGAGATGTGCCCTTGTACAGCTCTGGGCTGGGGAGGGCTTAGGGTGTCTCTGAGCTCCTGCAGGCATTTCCCAGCACTCAGGACAGTGATATGGGAACAGGATTGTGCCTTGCCTTTGACCTGCCTCATCATCAGCTGTGAGTCAATGCAGGCTGGCAGCTGAGAGCAGCCACGGGTGTCCTGGGCTGTGCTGCTTTGCCATCCCAGTTCTCCATCTTCTCTTTGGGAATCTGGTGGGCTCTCCCTGCTGGTACCCAGGCAGCTGTGAGGATAGCTGTGCCACTGCTCCCTGCTTGCTCTTAGCTGTGTGGAGCTGCCAAAGCCATGAGCAAAGGCCTTTGGGAAAGACAAGTAAAACGTGCAGAGAGTAGTGAATAATTCAGAGCCCGGTCTGCAGCACATCAAACACTCGGAAGCCCTGTGGGCAGGATTAGGAAAGTTAAGCCTGAATAAATAAGCCAGCAGACATCCTGGCTTCTAAGCATAAACCTGATGCTTCTGCACCCACAGGATTTCTCACTGTATATCTAGCTGGGTTTGTCTGCCAAAAACACCTGGATCCTCTGGAGAGCATCCGTGCCTGCCACCTTCAGCTGTGCCTCACACTGAGCTGAGGGTGGGTGTGTTCACCTGCAGCCACAGAGCCCAAGTGTTGTGTCCCTTTATTTCTTCTGCCTTACAGAACGTCAGGATCGACCCCAGCAGCATCTCCTTCCAGATGTGGAAAGACATCCCTGTCCCTTTCTACTTGTCAGTGCATTTCTTCGAGGTGCTGAACCCCAAGCAGGTCCTGCGGGGAGAGAAGCCAGTGCTGAGCCAGCGTGGGCCCTACGTGTACAGGTCAGGTGCCCCTGTGCCCCAGCCTGGCATGGGCCTGACCTCTGTCTGTCTGTCTGACCTATGTGTACAGGTCAGGTGCCCCTGTGCCCCAGCCTGGCATGGGCCTGACCTCTGTCTGTCTGTCTGACCTATGTGTACAGGTCAGGTGCCCCTGTGCCCCAGCCTGGCACAAGCCTGACCTGTGCTGCCTGCCAGGCTGCTGCCTGGCTCCTCTGGCAGGAGGACATGGCACCAGCAGCCTCACTGAGAGCCCAGGGGCAATGGATTTTGGAGGGACCCAGATGTGCTCTGGATTTTAAAGAAACCCAGATGTGCTCTGATCTTGCTGCAGACACAGGCAGGAGCTCTGGCCACTGAGACAGGGAGGTTGGTGGGTGCTCCACTGAGTTGTAGAGCTCAGCCTTTTTCTGGGGCCTGTTGGGCAGGCAGACCTGGGCTGATATGGCCCAAACGTGGGTATGAGGGGTGGTGGTGGGTGACCCTGTCTTCAGAGTGCTCTTCTTTTATCTTCACTGTTCATTGAAGAGCCCACCTCAATATCAAATTTATGGGCCAGCCTAAGTCCTTATCTAACATGATACCTGAACATGCCCAAAATGAGTGTTCTGCTCATGGGAGCTAGCATGGAGCACCAGCACTGGGTCAGGCCCACACACAGCAGGGCTGGGCCTGCTTGAGGATGCTGCCTGAAGCCCCAGGTGTTTCTCAGCACCTCAAAGTGATTGATGTTGAGTTGAATGTGAACTTTGCCATGAGCAGTGATTTCCAGTATATTAGTACCTGCAGTAGTGGGGTGAGGTTGAACAGCAGCCTAAGCAAGCTTATGTGGGAAGCTTACTGGTTAATCCAAAGCTGTTTGAGCAGTGTGAGGGGACACCTGCAGTATGTATGTGCCCTTGTTTGCCCTGGCCTTGCCAGGTCCCCCGCTGTGGGTTCTGTATGTTTCCCTTGCATCTCTTTGTTGGCTTGGGGAAAAGCTTCACTTGCTGTAAATAAGAATAAACAAAGGGCCAAAGCTTATTAGTGTCCTTGTGTTCCTGCTGAGCAAGATTAGTGCCCTTCCCTAATGTGGGCTGTAAAACAGAGGCTCCACAGTGGAGGACTTTGTTTTTGCTGGTGAGCTGAGCTTCAGCTCCTCCAGGAGCAGTGACAGGGTTGTGATGCTGGGGACAGAGCCCTGCAGCCCCCATGAGGCTGGGGCTGCCCCTGTGGTGTGAGCTCTGAGTTCCAGAGCACTGGGCTGGTGCCTTGAGAAGCTCCCTGGAACAGAGGCTGGACAGAGTTAAATTAATAAAGTAGAGATTTATTAAAAGGCCTTCAAAGGATGCACCTTGGGCAGTGCAAGAGCCTGGCCAGGGCTACACCCAAGGTGGATGGCATGGCATGAGTTTTCACACTTTTATAAGTTTTGGTCCATTTCCATATTGAGGTTCAGTGTCCAATCCCAGCTCCAGGTTGTGCAGTCCCACCCTCCCAGGTTGCTCCTCTCCATTCCCTGTTGATTGCACTTGTTGGGGCTGGAGCTGCAGCTGTCCTTGGTTCTGGGGCTGGAAAAGGATTGAGAGTGACTGAGGGGAGGAAAAGGATTGTTCTGTGGGACTGAGGAGAGGAAAAGGATTGTTCTGTGGGACTGAGCTGTGAGGAGAGCTGCTGACACTTCATATGGAGTTCAGAAATACACACTAACACAGTACAGAATGTGGAAAAGATGAAAGCTGAAAGGCATCAGGCGGTGTGCAGGACATGGATGGCCTGAAGCCCTGAGGAGCAGCAGGGCCGTGATGCTGTGTGGGGGCTGCCCTGAGCCCAGGAGCCATCCCATCTGCTTGGGAGCAAACCCCTGGTGGCACATGGGGCATCTTGGCTGCTCCTCTCCTGCGTGCAGCTTGTTTGGTGTGTGGGTGCTGTGGCTCTGCGTGCCTGGGCACCTCTCTGCTGTGCCTGGGCTTCACAGGGACTGTGGGTGAAGCAACAGAGGGGATTTGCTGTTTTGCCTTCAATTTCTTGGGTAATGAGTTGGGAAAGAACACTTTGTGCCTGCAAGAATCCAATCTGTCAGGGATGCATGGCTCTTGGGCTGCTCTCTCCTGACAGACCCTAACCGTGCTTGAGGTGGGGTGTTTATATCTGGTTTATATCTGTTCCCACACTGCAGACCCTAACCCTGGCTGGGGTGGGGGGTTCTATCTGGTTTATATCTGTTCCCACACTGCAGACCCTAACCCTGGTTGGGGTGGGGGGGTTTATATCTGGTTTATATCTGTCCCTCACTGCTTCCCCAGCTGCCCCATGGCTCCTCACTGGGCTTTGGTCTCCCCCAACACCAGCCCAGGCCTGTGCAGCCCATTCTGTTCGAGGGGCTCTGCCTGGGGGTGGTTGCCATGATCTGCCATCTCTTTGCAGGGAGTACAGGGTTAAAACAAATATCACATTCCACGACAACGACACTGTTTCCTACCTGGAGTACCGACAGCTTTTCTTCCAGCCACACCTGTCCAATGGCACGGAGGACGAGTACATTGTGGTGCCAAACATCATGCTGATGGTAAGTGCTCCTTGCCTGGATGGGTTCCACCTTCTGAGCTTGCAGGGAGGGTGGTGATAGCCAGCGTTGAATTACTGAATCACTTTCTTGTAGGGCTTGGGGCTGATCAAGCAATGAGGTGGTTAAGCTTATATAATGCAATTTTCTGCTTTGTGGGTGTTAATTGTTTTGTTAGGCTGCTCTGTTCCAAAACCAGAGTGCAGAGCAGCTGGTCTGGAGTCTGCAGCCTCATCTGAGCATCCTGTGGGGAAATCAAGCCTGTGAGCCCACAACTACTTCCTTCCCCAACTGGGAATAAATGAAGAACCTCAGTCTGTCCAGAGCATTCCTCTGGGGCTATTGATGGGAGCAGCAGAACGATTTGGGTTAACACCAAAAATGCTTCATCTTTGCTAAAGATGGGCCTCTCATCGCAGACATTTGTTTCCCTTCTCAGGGAGCAGCTGTGATGGTGGAAAAACTGCCAGACCTGTGGAAGCTTTTGCTGAGTGGAGCCCTGGCCGGCCTGAAGCAGGAGGCGTTCATGAACCGCACCGTGGGCGAGATCATGTGGGGCTACGAGGACCCCCTGATAGATGCAATAAATGCGATTGTTCCTGGCCTGCTCCCTTTCAAGGGGAAGTTTGGATTATTCATGGATGTAAGTGTTGGTTGGGAATGCGAAAATCCCGCAATTTTGATCTTGGGGTAGCTCAGACACTGAGCTGAGCAGAAGCTGATGGGGCACCCAGAGTCAGGCACGTGTTGTGTGCAGGAGATTAAACAATCATTCCTTCCTTCTCTCTGCAGTTCAACAACTCCGACTCGGGGCTGTTCACAGTCAACACAGGCATGAACAACATCAGCCAGGTTCACATGGTGGATTCATGGAATGGGCTCAAGGAGGTGAGAGTCTGGCAGCCAACCTTGAATTATGGGCAGTGCCTGATTAAAGCAGGGTCACCTGAAAGCTCTGGGGTGAAGAAGAGTTTCTACAGGACTTCAAGTGCTGCAATTTCCATTTCAGCAAGTTGCCAGGAGGCAGCCTTGTGGCAAGGGGCTATTCAGGAAGCAGTAAATTCATCTCCTCATGGGTTTTTCACTTGCACTCCCTTGCAGTGCTGTTGGGGCTGGTTGCCTCTAATGGTTGAAGTCTCAGGCTCCTGTGGGCTATGTTGAAGGTGTTAAAGGATGCTTTACTCTTCCCTTGTGGAATTCTGCTCCTAACTAAAATCAGCTGTAGAACTCAGCCTCTGGGGGCAGGAGGATCTTGTCCATTAATTGTTTGGCTCACAGAATCATGGAGGGTGGAAAATATGCCTAAGATGGGAAAGAACTTTGGTGCTGCTGTGGAAGCAGTGTGGGGTGGTGGACATTGCATGCAGGGAATCCTTCTGAGTTCTCTCTCCCCCTGTCCCACAGGTGGATTACTGGAGGAGCAGCCAGTGCAACATGATCAACGGGACAGCAGGGGAGATGTGGCCACCCTTCATGTCCCCAACCTCCCTGCAGTTCTACAGCCCTGATGCCTGCAGGTGAGGCCACACTGCCAGCCTGTCCCCGTGCAGGTGGCAGGACAGCTGCTCCCATCCTGCACACACAGAGGCCTCAGGAATTGTTTTTGGTAGCTAAAGTTCAGTTTGGGTCTGCATTATCTCTGAGCTTTGCAAACAGGGTAGTTGTCTCATTGTCAGCATCTTGTGGTGTCCATAAATACCTTCCAGATCACTGGAGATGTCCAGCTTGCCCACTTTAATCAGCACAAAAGGACCAGATGTGGTTATCTGATCTAGATAAGATGTGGGCAGTTAGAAGGAGAAGTAAGGGTTGTCAGAAGGAAATGCAACTGGAACTGCAGAACTCTTTCAGCTGACTAAACCCTTGGAGAAATTATGTCTGGGAGGAAA